GGTAGACGGAAGGCGATTTAGGTATTTAGTTTTGCAGAGAAAACACCACCAACACCACTGAAATCTAGTTTGAAGTCATCCCTATCGAAACTGAACAGTAAGGCCTTGTCTATTTCACTACCTTCCCACTCTTCTCTGGATGAGAAGACAATATTTGGTTTCGGATATTCGTGGTAATGAGAAGAAATGGGAATCTTGTAACTATCATAGGGTGCCCCTATTGCTTGCGAATAAAATGAAAGGTTCCCTCAGTCGGATAGCTGACTTCGCTGCCAATTGCTCACATAATAAGTCTGTTAAGCGTTTGTAATATCCATATAATTACTTTTTTAATATTATCACAAATAACGGTTACCGAAATCGAATATATTTATGGTATAGTTTAATAAAAAAATTAATTCTCCTTCTCTATTTCCGAAATAAAAATAAACACATTCTTTGTGCTCTTTATCAATCGTGCTACCTTAGCCCCGACAAACATGGGACGAGTGTTCAATTCACACAAACCCAAAGTACAGTGAGGTCAAGTGATCACTGATACTGGCTATATTGATTGAATTGGTAGAGAAACATAGTATGTGCTTTAAAAGTTGGTTTTTTTTTTTAACGGTTTCATTAAATTGCCAGCCACATTTGTCAAAATTTCAGATGTGTCCAACTGATTCAGACCACAACTCCGCCCACTTTCGATATAACCGCGTTTTTAACCCGATGATTTTACTTCGATTCAAATTTGGGCGAAATGGTTCAGCTTAAAAGTGTGATATTGTGATAATATGGTGTAATAGACTATATCATTGTACTTTATAGATCGCTTTGTGTATGTATGAAATATCTTCATAAAATTTAATAAGCGTGTTCCTCTTAATATAATACACATATGTATGTATATCGCTGCCAATATGATATTTATGTCAGAAAGGTTCAATTCACACAATATATGATTAGCCGATACGATAGCCGTTATATGATGAATATACCGACACCCGAAAGTGCATACGATTTAAAATGAAAGGCGAGCGCCGAATATATTTATATCGAAAAACTCAAGGCAAATATCTTAGTGGTATATTTCAAGGTCCTTTTCACTAGATGCGTTTTTTACGTGGCGGGTCCCAAACTCAGCGCACAACCCTGAGGAGGGGATGTTTCACCTTTCACTTTAACTCGCTTTCAAACGGATTTTGGCTACCCAGAGGTTACTTGGTCTAAGACCGAAATTCGTGAGCTGCTTAAGTCATTCTTAAAAGAATCGTTTCTGGCCAGTCCCAAGTGAATGGCTCTCAGAGAACTTCACTTGCGTGAACTTCTGAACTTCTACACATGACTCCATCCTCCCATCTGCGCACTAAATGGTTCTGGTATTGAGCTCGTTCAAGACAAAATATCTCCTGTCATCAAGCAAACAGTCGGCTCCCACGGCACTGTTGAC